TATGGGGAGTGGTCAACTAACCCATGTAACTCTCAAGCGCAGACTGTTTAAATTCTAGCAGCGCAAGTGTTCGATGCAAGAATGTCATTGAATTCGCTGCATGCAAATGAAACTGCAAATGGTCGTTTTTACTATGTCATCCACATAGGAGGAATTGAAAGAGTTATCCAACATTTATTTACTTATTGCGTGTCTTTAGTTTAGATGTTTATTTATTACATGATTTCGTACTCAACAAGATTCTACCTCGGCAGTTGTTTCCGTTCCCGCGAAATTCAGGTTTACAAATGCACTTGAATGATCCCTTGTTATTTTCGCAAATGGAATTTCCATAGGTACAGTTGTGGGTATTTGTCGTGCATTCGTCAATGTCTTAAATAAGAGCAGCAGTGTATTTATGTTCCTGATGAAAAGCCACGATGGGGAATTTTGGAGGGGGTGGGGGTTTGGAGAGAGATTTGCCTTAAATCAAGAAGCTTTGAGCAAAACGCTATTTTCAAGAATTTTCTAGCCCAATAGTTAAGTTAGTTGGATGTGCATCAAGCTCATTTCAATTTCATAAACAAGTTTATGAGATAATCAGACAGTTTTATTGACATGGTACACGAGGATTAAATTAAGAAAAAGTTCAAAGCAGGGAATGAGTTTCAGGGAGTAAAACTAGGGTTTTGAAAGCTGATTGCCGGTATTCAGTCATTCAATAAGCAATTATTTCAATGGTGCTTGGTTTCCCCTAACGAGTAGATACCAGAAATAGGAAATCAATTTTTTGAATGGTATAGGCTGTGAAGACTCTACCTTCGCAGTTGTGTCCATCTTCAGTGAATCCAGGTTTACATGAGCAGTTGAACGATCCCTCGGTATTTAGACAAGTGGCTTTGCCCTTGCTGCAGTCGTGGGTNATCACACTCGTCGATGTCTGAAATGAAATCATGTGACCATACCTATGATTGTTATCTTCAAAACAAGGAGGTGGGTGGGGGAGGGGAGTTGCTAATTTGCAATGGAAAACCGACTCTGCCGCATGTTAATCCAGTTCTGCAGGGAGAAAGGCTTAATATTTGAAACCTGATACTTATAATTAGGATTTTAAAACGCGTATTTCTACCAAAGGCTAGTTAGGAGTAGGCATCATGCTCTGAACAATGCTAATTAAAAATAAATACCTGTGCACTTGTCTATATCCCAGCCGAATCCAGGATTACAAGAGCAGCTGTAAGATCCCTTGGTGTTTGTGCAGTTGGCGTTCTTGCCGCAGCTGTGGGTTCTTGTAACACACTCGTCGCTGTCTGAAATTAAATAAACGAACCGTACCCATGATTGTTATTATCAAAACAAGGAGGGGATGGAAAAGGGGAGTTGCTAATTTCAAAGGAAAACCGCTTCTACCGCATGTTAATCCAGTGCTGACGGGAAAAGGGCTTATTATCCTAAATATGATAGTCGAGCTACCCCATATTTAGGATTAGGAAACGTTTTTTTTTTTTACCATAGGTTAGTTTTGACTAGCCATCATGCTCTGAACAATGCTCATTACTTGGGTAATTGTCAAAATCCCCGCTGAAATCAGGATTACAAATGCACTTGAATGATCCTTTGGTACTTTTACAAGTGGCATTTTTATTGCGGCAGTTGTGAGTATTCATAGCACACTCGTTCATGTCTGAAATAGAATCGACAGATCTTTCACCAAAATACTTAAGAATTAAGGTCGCAAGAGGGGTGCTAATGTAAAGAGTTTTGCTATTTGTCATTAGATGCGTGTGACGAAGCTAGCGAGTGAAAAGTGGCGGTTCTGTGAATAGAAGAGTTTAAATCCATTGCTTTACTTTTCCACTGAATGCCTGAAACAGGGTTGGTCCTAATGGAGGTGGCTTGAACTCTTATAGATGTCAAACGACTGCACTGAGGGATATCTAAAGAATAATACATGAATGCACGTGAGACTGCAACTTGAACAGGAGAGGACGGTCTTTAAAAAAGAAAACGGATTTTATAACCAATGGGGCCAGCTTTAGTTCATTCCTGTTCACTCTAAACAAGACACAATACCCAGAAATTCGAAAAAGAAAAAGATAATGAAATTTCACCCCTACCCTCCTTTTCCCTCACTAAGTCACATTTAACACGTGAAATAAGTACAGCTGATTTTGAATATTAAACCATCCGAAGAGATGGACCACCGTGTTTCAATCAGTTACAAAGTTGATTTTTATCATTTTAAGTCTTACCCTCTTCACAATCGTGGCCAGTAAATCCAGACGCACACAAACATCGATATCGTTTTTTTGTAAATCCCGACTGGCAAGTGCCGTTGTTTTGGCATGGTGATCGATGGCAAAAATTCTTAAAAGAAAAGAGAAAAAGCATGTCACAAGTAGTTGTCCACTATCTTCACAGCCCTCTCCTACATTTCGAAGAGAACTTGAGCGCGAAAAATAAATCGAGAAGGGGCGTCTTTAGACAAGATTTAAAGAGTAGAGTGACGTTCCTAAGAGCCGCGCACTTAGTAACTCCTGTCGTAGCTCAACTCTGTCATTATGTCCATAGTTGTGAGCATCTTCTGAGCCATTTGATGGAT